GGTGGCGCTATAGAGTTGGTCCTAGAGGGTCAAAAATTGGTCCAATTACTATTCATTAGCATCACTACAAGTGTGCCAAATTTCATCATTTTCCTACTTACGGTTCATAGGGCTGCCATAGACTCCCATTCACGGAATAATAATAATAAGAAAACCAACAGATACAATAGGTGCCTCTGCACCTTCGGTGCTTGGCCCCTAATAAGAAAACCAACAGATACAATAGGTGCCTCTGCACCTTCGGTGCTTGGCCCCTAATAAGAAAACCAACAGATACAATAGGTGCCTCTGCACCTTCGGTGCTTGGCCCCTAAAAACTAACAGATACAATAGGTGCCTCTGCACCTTCGGTGCTTGGCCCCTAAAAACTAACAGATACAATAGGTGCCTCTGCACCTTCGGTGCTTGGCCCCTAATAAGAAAACTAACAGATACAATAGGTGCCTCTGCACCTTCGGTGCTTGGCCCCTAATAAATAGCTGCAAGCAGCAACACGGGGCCAAGCCCTGCAAGGCACCGCAATTAGAACAATTACAGCAAAGTTCAAAGGCTTGGCACCGCAATTAGAACAAGTACAGCAAAGTTCAAAGGCTTGGCACCGCAAGCAGAACAAGTACTGCAAACTGCAAGTACAGCAAGCACAGCAAGCATAGCAAATACAGCAAGTACAACAAGTACAGCAAGTACAGCAAGTACAGCAAGCACAGCAAGTACAGCAAGTACAGCAGCGCATCAAGCATTTAAGCACCAACAGCAGAGCAGAGCCAGAAGGAATTGAAATGACAACTTTATACAGAATTTTAAAGTCATCCCACATGGGACTCGAACCCACGACCAGAATGGTTCGGGATTCGAGATGCATGGTTTAGCTGATTGCGCCACTCAGAGGACATGAATTTCAAAACAGCAGAGGAGAGGGTTCAGTGTGAGAATGAGTTCACAAAAAAGTTCCATGACATGTTATCCAGATTTGCATGCTAAGCTAGCGCAATGCTAATATATCTTATGGTTAGCCTGATATGTAAAGAGCCACAATGTATTGTTCAACTATAATGTTCTGCTGTAACGTCACTGTGATTTTTTGAAAAAAAAAAACTGCTCAAATGTAGCTCAAAACTAATATAGTTATTTAAATATCTCATGACCTGTACGGGGTGCTATTCCTTAATTTAGAATGGTCCCTCATATCATTTTGCAATGAAGGGCAAGGGTTAGTCTCTGAAGCAATTTTGGGTTGACCTTGTTAAAGTTGTGACATCATAATTATTGAATGAAGATAAACATAAATATACGTTTCTGTGTTGCTCAGATGGAAGATAATCTGCTCTATTTTTTGTAGGAATTTATCTAACGTTGAATGAGAAGTAGCAAAGAACTGAAAACTGTACTTTTTCTAAATGTGCAGTAATGTAAAGGGTTAAGTCTTAATGCTTTTTACTGTTTGCAATCACCTTAATGAGAGGAATACTTTTTGTAGTGTGGTCATGTGCCACACGGGATTTGAACCCATGATCAAGAAGGGCTCAGGGTTTGTAGCATGTGGGTCAACAGCTCACACCACTCAGAGGATGCTGAAATGGAACGCTGCAGAGGAGAGGCTTCAGTGTAAAAATAATAATTATTAATGATTGGTTAAGTGGTGTAATTAGTGTAATGCAATTAGTGTAATTAAGTGGAGTAATTAGTGAGGTTTATAAGGCTGGCAAACAAGGAGACTTGTTTCTGTGTTTCTTGACAAGGTGAGTTTAAGCAGGTCATAGATTAAGCAATCTCATTTGAAATTATATCAGTGTGCTGTTCCAATTCTTCTGTATGAAACTAAGAGTTAGGTTGTTGAAAGTATTTTAGACATCTTAATTGTGTGTGTTTTGAATGAATGTTGACAAAATGGCTGCTCTCATGAAGGGCTGCCACATGCTTTCTACAAACATTTAATATTAATAGCCCTGTTCATGCTAAAAAGTATGCAATGGTGATAGTGCTTTAAATAAGTTTGGTTAAAAAGTTTAGCACAATTTTAATGTAAATTTTTTACATTACTTTGTTAAAGTATGTTGAATTTTGAAATTGAATAGGCACGTGATGTTGATTTTGGACAAACTATTTATTTAATGTTTGTGCAGGTGCACTGCACATGTCTGCTACAATTAATACTTGGTTAATAAGACAATCTGAATGTTTGTTTAATAATATAACTTAATGTCTGTTTTATAATAATGATAATAATAAACTAGACAAAGTTCGTCGAGACAAATTTTAAGTTGGCTTGTGAAAGTTTGGAACAGAAAGTTTTAAGTTAAAGTTAGTTTATAGTTTAAAGTAGTTTATAGTGTAAATTAGTTTATAGTTTAAAATAGTCTAAATTTTAAATTAGTTTGAATTTTAAAGTAGTTTAAAGTTAAATTAGTTTAAATTAGTCTAAAGTTTAAATTAGTTTGAAATTTAACAGTTTAAAGTGTAAAAGTATAGTTTCAAGTAATTTAAAGTTGCTACAGTGTTTCTAGTGGGTTGCTAAGGTGTTCTGGATGGTTGCTAGGGTGTTGCTAGGGTGTTGCTAGGGTGTTGCTAGGGTGTTGCTAGGGTGTTGCTAGGGTGTTGCTAGGGTGTTGCTAGGGTGTTGCTAGGGTGTTGCTAGGGTGTTGCTAGGGTGTTGCTAGGGTGTTGCTAGGGTGTTGCTAGGGTGTTGCTAGGGTGTTGCTAGGGTGTTGCTAGGTGGTTGCTAGGTGGTTGCTAGGTGGTTGCTAGGAGGTTTTGGGTGGTTTCTAGGGTATTGCTAGGCGGTTGCTAGGGTGTTCTGGGTTGTTGCTATGGTGTTAAGCGGTTGGTAGGGTATTCTGTGTGGTTGCTATGGTGTTGCTAGGGGGTTGATAGGGTGTTCTGGGTGGTTGCTATGGTGTTACTAGGCAGTTGCATGTCATGGGCTGTCCTACACCATAGTAAGTCAACTTTGGGCTGCTCCTGCCCCCCAGGGGTGCAACTTTTACTCCACTGTGAGGTATTTTCTTACAGAGCCTGTCAGCCTTTTCAAATGTGGTATATTACAAGTTTCTGAGAAATCATCGCTATTTAGTATGGCCTACGGCCTACAGTTGCTAGGGTGCTGTAACTGGTTGCTATGGTGTGTGAATTTAGAGTTTATGAGTTTAAATGAGTAAGTGTCCAGAGTTTATTAATTTATGAGTTTAATAGTTTTATGAGAGTTTATAAGAGTATGAGTTTATGAATTTAGAGTTTATGAGCTAGAGTTTATAAGTTTAAATGAGTCTAAGAGTTCGGGTTTAGAGTTTATTAATTTATTATGAGTTTAAGAGTTTAAGATTAGATAGATAAGTGTCATATATAGACAGGGGCGTAGAATTTAGTTGGGACGCTAGGGACGTGTCCCTACCAATATCCAGTGACACTGATATATCCCTAGCAATAATTTCGATCAAAACTTAAAATATATTTATAAATTGATTAGGGCAGGGCAAAAAAAATAGATTTTTCGATTAATCGTTTTTTAAAATGTGGTCGATTCAAAATCGATTCTTTCTATTTTTTTCCATATTAAGGACTCGCGGTGGTGCTGCGTCTTCTCTCTCTGCACTAGGCAAGCGCTGAATATTCACTTGCACAATCGGGCCAGCATTGCACCGTAACTAAAGTTTATCATTGATTTTACCAGTTTAAACATTCAAGCAATGTTAAACCATGCTGTGCTCGCGCACTCTCAGATGTCTTTCACTGCGTGCACGTTAATAAAGCCTAAATCCGCCTCACAAACAGCTCGCCAGAAACAAAAGTTTTATCACTGGATTATATCGCTTTACTGTAACAGTTAAAAACACGCAAAATTATGTCAATACTGTCTTGGTTAGTAACCTCGTAAAGACAGTCGGTTATGTCTTAAATTAGCATCAAAATCCTGTCCATTCATTGTATGCATTTAGTGTATAAGCTAGTGTACCTAAAATAAAGAGTTTTACTGTGTATACAGGTTTGTGGCTCTTAATTTATTTGTATTAATTAACCACTAGTAAACTTGTCCACTGTTCTTTTTTTTTTTTTTTATAAATATAGGATTTGTATTACATCTATATTCATTATAGTCAAAGAATATAATCAAGAATGAAATCAGGAATCAAGAATCGAAATTGAAAATCGAATCGAGAATCAAAATTGAATCAATCTGAGAGCTTTCGAATCGAAATTGAACATGTGAATCGATACCCAGCCCTAAAATTGATGTCCCCGTCCCCACCAATTTCAAAATCAAACCTACGCCTCTGTATATAGATGAGTGTATTAGTTTAAATGAGTCTCAATAGCTCATATAGTGTATAGAATGGCAGTTTGATTGAGTCTAGGGCTTCAAAGTATTTAGATTTGAATTTTTGACAGTTGGGCAGTTTGAAAATCTGAAGATTCCACAATGTTAAGTCAATGGGTTTTAGGAAAACCGTAAGTCCGATCAGTCTGAAAAACTCGAGTCAGAACAGTTTGAGTGTCCGTGCCGAGTTTGGAGTATGTGAAGTTAAAGCTCTAGGAGGAGTAGTAGTAAGAAATTTAAGTCTCAGAAAAAGAATACTAATAATATTAAGTTTAAATAGCATTTCAGTAAGTTGACTTTCACAAGCCAAATTAAATATATATTTATATGTATATTCACATACGTGCATATCAAATATTTTAATTATCTTAATTAAATGCTTATTGATTTCAGAATTGTTATATTTCTATGTGAAAATGGCTAGAAAATCATTATAGTGTAATGCAGTGAAATATTTTTGGGTGTTTTGTAAAACTGGCAACTTGAGTTACGCAAGTATACATAAAAATATTTTTGTTTATATTTACAGATGCCACGACCTAAGAAAAGGGCCCGCATAGCCAAGAGGCTTGCACAACGGTGTGCAAATACAGAGGTTCCGCCGCTTCCTCTTGAAAAAAAGGCAGAGGCTGCACCGCTTCCTCTTAAAACAAGTGAAGCAGAGGTTCGGCCGCTTCCTCTTAAAAAAATGGCAGAGGCTGCACCACTTCCTCTTAAAAAAGGGCAAACAGAGGCTGCACCGCTTCCTCTTAAAACAAGTCAGGCAGAGGCTGCACAGCTCCCTCTTAAAACAAGTCGAGCCGAGGTTTTGCGGCTTCCTCGTAAAAAAATGGCTGAAAACAAAAATTCTGACAAATATTCTGACAAAAATTCTGACAAAAACTCTGCTTCAAGCTCTGCTTCAAACTCTGTCAAAAACCCAGTCAAAAACCCATCAAAAACCCAGTTACCTCCACAGAACTCTGAACAAAACTTTAAAATGTACAGAACTTTACATGAAAATGCTTTGAATACTTTACCTGCATGTGTTGAATTTCTACAGAAACCATTACTGAAAGGTTCCTTTCATCAAGGTGATGCCCGCTTTGGAAATTCACGTGGCAGACAGTGTGGTGCCATCAGTCTGATAGCAGTGTTGATGAGCAAGATGAAGAACGTGTTGACCTGGACAACACAAGATCTCAATGGTGTATTGGTTGCAGGAACACGCCTTTATGAATCTTTACGAAACCAGGGTAACATAAATGACCGGGAAGTCATGGGTAGGCATTACATTGCTGTCCATGAATTACCAAGGAGACATGTGCTGGGTAATACTGTCTTTTCCATAGAATATGCAGAGTCTCTCACTGGATTTGTTAATGTTGATGACTATGATGAATCCTTAAGGAATGTGGCCATGCCAGTTGATGTAGCTCTTCAGCGAGCTCTATTGAGTGCTGATGCTTTCCTTTTATGTATTTGTGCCAACACATGTGCAGTTATTAAGGAGGGCTCATGGTATGCCTTTGTTGATTCTCATGCTAACATGACCGAGACAAGTTGTGTTGCTTATCACAGCACCATAGAATCTTTGTATAACTACATTAATGAGATGGCACAGTCATTTGGGGTAATTGCGCCACGATTTGAGATAACTGGAGTTTTTGCCCATGCAGATGCTGAAGTTTCTCACTTGCTGGAGGCAGACCGCAGCAGTTTTCCAGGATCTTCTGGTAAAGCACTTTACAGTGAAGTTCTAAAACGCAAACCTAAGGTATGTAAATCTGTGATGACTGAGGTAAGGTCATCTGTCTTTCAATCACCTGAGGCTGAAGTTCAAAATACATGCACTGATGTTCCCGTGCCACAACCAGTGTGTAATGTTTTGCCGAGTAAAGGAAAAAGGGGGAGAAGTAAAAATCAGGATGAACTATCAGAGAAATGGGTTACGAAGTCCCACTCGCTGGAGGCAGACCACAGCAGTTGTCCATGGTCCTCTGGTAAAGCACTTTACAGCGAAGTCTTAAAACGCACACCCAAGGTATGCAAATTTGTGACCACTGAGGTAAGATCATCTGACTGTCAATTACCTAAGGTTGAAGTTCAAAATACAAGCAGCACAAACCTTTCAATGTCGCAACCAGTGTGTAATGTGTTGCCAAGTAAAGGAAAAAGGGGGAGAAGAAAAAAGCAAGATGAGCAGGTCTCTGAGAAACGGGTTAAAAAATCTCATGTTGAAAATGTTGTAGTAGAAGACATAATTATTACTGATGTTTCAATTCCAGAAGTATTTTTTTCTCCATTGACTCATAGAGATCAGCAAGCTTTATGTGAACTCTTGCTTCTGACAAATGATAACAGTGACTGTGATGTTACAACAAACTTTGGTCCCATTGCAGGTCCGTGTCAGACAAAGAGTATCAAACCAGATGGTAACTGCTTTTTCAGATCACTGGCATATGCAATTTGTGGAAGTGAGGACAAGCATTTGAAGATTCGCCGTGCAGTTGTCAAACACCTGAAAATGAACGCTTCAGAATTTGAGAGGTATGTGAGAAGTGAGTATACTTCAGTAGAGGACTACTTGAGACAATCTAGAGTCTATTATTCTGGGTCATGGGTCACTGAAATTGACATATTTGCTTCTGCTGATCTATTTAAAACAACCATAATGACTTTTAATGATGGCCAGTGGAATGCACACAAACCTACTGGAGAGGTAATTGCAAACAATGCAATATATTTGAAAAACTGTAATGGTAATCATTATGAAGTTGTGACATGTGTCAAGCACAGAGGTCAAGACATTTGCGCAGGAAAGTGTGGGAATGCTATTTCAAATGAGGTGAGAATGCCATGTCTGCGTAAAAGGAAGGTAAGCGACGCTGCAGAATGTGACCAAGAGACCAAGAGACAGAAAAAATGGAAGTATGAGAAGTCCAAGTATGATAATGACATTGATTTCAGACAGAATAAAATTGACTATGCCAAAACAAAATACTGTGATGACATTGATTACAGGGAGAATAAAATTGACTATGCCAAAACAAAATATTGTGATGACACTGATTACAGGGAGAATAAAATTGACTATGCCAAAACAAAATATTGTGATGACACTGATTACAGGGAGAATAAAATTGACTATGCCAAAACAAAATATTGTGATGACACTGATTACAGGGAGAATAAAATTGACTATGCCAAAACAAAATACTCTAGTGATAAAGATTATAGACAGAAAAAAATGAAAGTTCTTCGTGATAAATATTTAAAAGATTGTCATGTTTGTTTGTTTAAGCGTGAACGTTCTAAGGCCAAGTATTCAAGCAATATTCAGTTTCAGAAGCGTGTTTGCCAGTATTCTCGAATGAAATATAAAAATAATGTCTCATTTCAGGCAACTGTACGCGAGTATTCCAAGAAGAAATATCTTCAAAACCTGGACTTTAACGCAAGAGTACGTGAGTATTCCAAGAAGAAATATCTTCAAAACCTGGACTTTAACGCAAGAGTACGTAAGTATTCCAAGAAGAAATATCTTCAAAACCTGGACTTTAAAGTAAGAGTGCGTGAGTATTCTAAGACAAAATATCACAAAGATGTAAACTTTCATTTCAGTAAAATACAAAAAGGCTGTGAGGTATATGCAAAAAAAAGGGAAAAACAGAAAGACATTGGTGTTGCCATTGCTGGTTTTCGTCAAGAAGTGAGTAGAGGTCCAGAGTTTGTGTGCTGTGTTTGTCACCGTTTACTTTTCAGAAAGCAGGTTACTGAATGCAAACCAGAATGCTATGAAGACAAAGGAGACAAAATTGCTGCTTTGGCAAGAAGATGCATCACCCTGAGGTATGTGCATGTTTGTGATGAAAAATGTCATAATACTTCTGGTTTTTCTCCAAGGTGCAAATTGTGGATTTGTCCAACCTGTCATCGAAAAATCATCAGTGGAAAACTGCCTGAAGAGAGTGTTGCTAACAATATGCATTTGGTGGACATTCCAAATCAACTAAAGTGTCTTAACTCTTTGGAACAACATCTTGTGGCACGTAATATTCCTTTTTTGAAATTACTCTGTCTTCCCCGTGGAAAACAAAATGGCTGCCATGGACCGGTGGTGTGTGTTCCTGTAAATACTGCAGATGTGTCAAATATTCTTCCACGAAATGAATGTGATGACAAGATGATAAGGATAAAACTGAAGCGCAAGTTAACCTACAAAGGGCATTATGAGTACAAGCATGTTCACACTGATCGTGTTAGAAATGCTCTGCGACGTTTGATCAGGTGCAATAAATGGTACAAGGATGTGGAGATTAATGAACAATGGATCAACTCTTTGAATGAACCAGAAGAGAATGTTGCTGAAGAAATGGAGGAACAAGCTGAAGTTGAAAAGAGTGAAGAGGAAAATGATACTGAAGAACAGCCAGAGGAAGACTTGACTTACATCAAAGAGCAGAGTGGTCTTTTGTCAGACACATGTTTACAACCTGTCGATCTTGGTTCAGAAGTAATTGATCAGCACTTTCAAGATGTATTAAATGTGGCACCAGCTGAAGGTAACAGTCCTGTTAAATTACTGTCTGATAAAAGCAATGAAGCAAAATGTTTTCCTGTTCTCTTTCCAACTGGTGGTCCAACATTCCATGATGAGAGAGAAAGAAAGATCACACTGTCACGATACTTGAATGCAAGAATCCTCAACGCAGATGGACGTTTTGCACGGAGTACAGACTTTATTTTCTATGCACAATACATGTCGGAGTTGGATCAAATTGTATCTAATGTTTCTATTGCTTTGCGAAAAGGGTCGGACAAGAGGTTGTTGCAAGGAGTAACCTCAGATATGCTGACAAACCCAGAGTCGTTAGCTAAAATATTGAATTATGATGAAGGATACAAATTTTTGAGACCAGTCCGTGGAACGCCACCCTATTGGCAATCGACTCAAAAAGACCTTTTTGCTCTCATAAGACAACTAGGTATTCCAACTTTCTTTGCATCCTTTAGCTCTGCTGATCTCAGATGGCCTGAAATGATCAACACCATCCTGGAGCAAGAACAGAAAAATGTCAGTGTTGATGAGCTTGACTGGTCTGAGAAATGTGGACTAATTCGACGAAACCCAGTCACTGCTGCAAGGATGTTTGATTATAGATGGCATTGTTTTTTGAAGGATGTCATTATGTCACCTGCTCAACCTATTGGAAAGATCAAAGACTACTTCTATCGTGTAGAGTTTCAACAGCGTGGATCTCCTCATGTTCATTGTCTGTTTTGGGTTGAAAATGCTCCAAAGTTAAATGAAGACAACGAAGACAGTGATGCTTTGGTTGCTGCTTTCATAGATCATTATATCACTTGTGAGACACCAGGAGATGATGACGCAGAACTTTATGAGACTGTGAACAGTGTTCAAAAGCACAGCAGAAGACATTCCAAGACATGCCGGAAGAAAAACACAGTGTGTAGATTTAATTTTCCACGGCCTCCATCTAGCCGCACCTTTATAACAAGAGCTGTACGAGATGACTTGAAAGGCAATGATGGAAATGAGACTGCAAGTGCAATTCTGAAGAAAATCAAAACTGCGTTAACAGAATCTGAAGTCAATTTTGATTCAACAGATGCCTTTTTCCAATCCATTGGAATTAATCAAGCTGTGTTTGAGAAGGCGTACAAGAAATGTTCTAAAAAGAAAAGTGTCGTCTTGAAACGAAGTCCAAAAGATGTTTGGGTAAATCAATATAACCCTCATTTATTGCGTGCATGGCAAGGCAACATGGATATCCAGTATGTCACAGATGCTTACTCTGTAGTGGTTTATATTATTAGTTACATCACAAAAGCAGAACAAGAAATGGGACTGTTGTTGCAACGTGCACAAAATGAAGCTATGAATGGAAATCTTGAAGCAAGATCATCATTAAAAATGTTGGGAAGTGTATATCTACACAACAGAGAAGTTTCAGCACAAGAGGCAGTATATCGCCTAACAGGCATGCACTTGAAAGAATGCTCTCGCAAAGTCCAATTTATTCCAATTGGAACTGATCCTGTGAAGATGAGTTTGCCTTTGCGTGTTCTCCAAAACAAAGATGACCATTCTGGTGAAGAGAATTTTTGGATGAATAGTTTGGTTGACCGATACAAGAGTAGACCAAAAACAGAACATTTTGAGATTCTGTGTCTGGGCAGTTTTTGTTCAGAATACAGGATATTGTCAACATCTGAGCTATCTTCACAAAACAAAGAAAATGTGATCAAGCTTGACAACAATTGTGGTTATATGATAAGAAGAACTCGAACTGAACCTGCAGTAATAAGGTATCCAAGATTTTCACCAACAAAAGATCCTGAGAAGTACTATCATTCACTGCTACAACTTTTTTTACCACATTATGAAGATTACCAGCTGAAGCCTGAGAAGTTCCACACTTATGAGGATTTCTACAACAATGGTGCTGTGAAATGTGGAAGTAATGTGACTGAAGTAAAATCTATTGTTGATTCTAATCGAGCACTGTTTGAAAAGGACAGCGATGAAATAGACCGAGCTCAACAGGTTTTGGAGCTGGGTGTTGATTTGGAAGATGCTTGGGCTGCATTGTGTCCTGAAACAGAGAAGGAGCGCCATGAATGTATCGAGCTAAAGAAGAATAACGTACTTCCTGAAGAAGATGATTCTGACACACTTATTCCAGATCTTGTAGCGAACCCTCGAACTGCATTCACAATTGAGAACAGTAATGCTACAATGTCTCGAGATGAAGCATTGGGTTTACTAAGATCATTAAATGCTAAACAGTCTGCAATATTTTACAAAGTTCGCGACTGGTGTTTACAAAAACTGCATGGAGAAAATCCTGAACCGTTTCGCTTGTTTGTTACTGGTGGAGCAGGCACAGGAAAAAGCCATTTAATCAAAGCAATATGCTATGAATCTTCTAGACTCTTGTCTCAGCTGTCTGACAACCCTGATGAGCGGAGTGTGATTTTATGTGCATCAACTGGAGTAGCTGCATACAACATTGGCGCTGCTACCATACACCACACTTTTTCAATTGGTGCTAATGTCAAACTGCCATATCAACCACTAAGTGATGACAAAATCAATTCTCTGCGTTCCAAACTTGGATGTTTGCAGATTTTGATTATTGATGAAGTATCCATGGTTGACCATCACCTTTTGTCATATGTTCATGGGAGATTGAGACAAATCAAACAAACTGGTGATTACTCCCTCTTTGGAAAAGTAAGTCTTGTAGCTGTAGGAGATTTTTATCAGCTGCCGCCTGTCAAAGGAACTCCACTCTATGCTGATACAAAAGGAGTGAACCTTTGGGAAAACCACTTTGAAATTGCTGAATTAACTGAAGTTGTTCGGCAACAAGATGTAACTTTTGCTGAAACCTTAAATCGTCTGAGAGTTCGTAAAAAGAATGAACCTCTGAGCTCAGGTGACATCAACATGTTGAAGCAACGTGAAACAGGAGAAGAATGCGGTGCTGTTCATATATTTCCTACAAATAAAGAGGTTGATGAATACAATATTCAGAGACTAAATGAGGTTTGTCCTGAGGCAATCAGTATTCGAGCTCAAGACTTTGAGAGAAATCCAAAAACTGGAAGGATTGAAAAAAAAGTTGGATTTCATTTAACCGTTTTCAACTCCTGTTTGGCTAAATGTGTTTCCTTGGGTGTTGGAGCAAGAGTTATGTTAAAGAAAAATATTAATGTTTCGGATGGACTTGTGAATGGAGCCTTTGGTACAGTTGTCCATATTAGCAGAAGTCAAAAACAGGACGATGATTATGATGATGACTTTCCATCAGCCATTCATGTGGAATTTGATGATCCAAATGTGGGAAAAATTCAGAGATCAAACCAACAACATAGATTTTCCCAAAATTCTACAGTAATTGAAGTTCAAGAAGATCAAGTCACAACCAACGGTGGATTAAGGCGCCAATTTCCACTTAGACTGGCATGGGCATGCACTGTTCACAAAGTCCAAGGGCTCACAGTAGATAAAGCTGTCGTATCCCTTGACAAGATCTTTACTTCAGGACAAGCATATGTTGCATTGAGTCGTGTGAGAACTCTCAATGGACTAATTATTCAAAACTTCAAGGAGTCTGTAATATACTGTAATGATCAAATTGACTTGGCAATGAAAAATATACCAAAATTTCCATTAGAAAGTCACACTTTCTCAAAGACACCTGGTATATTTACAATTGCTCTTCAGAATGTGCAAAGTCTTCAAGCTCATGTTCAAGATATTCAAGCTCACAGACAACTTATGAATGCAGATTGTATTTGTTTAACTGAAACATGGCTACAAGTTGAAGACCAAGTACAAATACCAGGATTTATTTTCAAGCATAATCCAAGAGCTAAGTGCTATGACAACAGCACTCCCCTTTTTAGTAATTTAAAACAACAGCGAGGAGGTGGGGTTGCTATCTACTGTTGTGAAAACATGTTTTTTAAAGTCATCATTCCAGAACCTTGCAATTTGGAATGTTTGTACTTCTCAGTTCCACATATCAGTTTGAATGCTGCTCTGCTGTACAGGCCTAATTCATATCAAATTGATGTGTTTCGACAAAATCTGTTACATGTCATTACTGAGCTGGAAAAACATCCAGGAAAGAAAGTAATTATGGGAGACTTCAATGAGGACATCTTAACATCATCTTCAATTGGGACACTAATGGAAGTCCATGGATACAGTCAACATGTGCAATGTCCTACAACTGAAAAGGGTACGTTAATAGACCATGTCTATATTAAAGATGCAGAAAATGTTACAATTGAAATTGTTTCAACTTACTATAGTTACCATGAAGCAATACTAGTTTCAGTAAGGTAATTGACATTTCTGACACATAATGAAGACTGTATAACTGCATTTTTCTTTTCTGTGCCCCTACCCTGCTACAATTAATCTGAGATTGAGGTCCATGAAGGTCTGTTCAAGTTCACAAGTGAAAACGGTATGTTATTAGACCATTTATTTCAAATCATTTCAATAAGAAACTGATTCATTTGTTGTAATTTCTGCAAGTCCACTAGTATGCTATCAAGAAAGGTTTACTCATGTAAGGTAATATGTCTGATTTATGCAGCACGCTGAACTAAGAAATGTATATAATTACACTGTCTATTCTGTTTTTGTTCGTACAATGTGACGCACATCTTGAGATTCCAAGGTCTATACAGTCCTGACCATTCCATACCAAGTTCTATCCATTGTTCATCGGGCACAAACCAGCACCTCCCATAATTGCTCTTCTTTCTGGAGCTCCAAAGCTACATCCAATCAAGGTTTTTGTAGTTTTTATGCATTCAATTTGTGTTTGATTTTTCTTCATTTTAGACAATGGTTTTGGTTTTTAGCTGAATTTGTTTTTGATCTAATTCCTGCCAGTCTAAGCCATCCAAACAACACTGGATGCTTCCAATCAGCTTAGGAAGCATCCACAAAGACTGCCTGCATTCCTACAGTTGTCTTATAAAATGCAATTAAGTTAATAGGATTACAAGAAAACATCTAAAAATGATCTAGAAAACTTCACATAGAAAGGTAAGTTGACATGATTGTGTACATTTTAATAGTTTAAAAAGAAAATATTTAAGGCAATATCAACTAACAATATAATTTCAGATTTATAAACTGTATGTTATCTTACCTTTTTGTCAGTAAATTTTTTTTTTTTTGATTTCTGAAACACTGAAGTCATAATTCCTCCATATACCCATCACAAGATTTTCTGCTCCATGAACTCCTCTATAGAAGCACACAAAATAAAAATAATATCTTTTTTGATCAGCTATGTCTGCAAAGCTTGAATGAAAGCATGTCAATTTCAGTTAACAGATTATCTACATTAATGGCAATATGTTTTTGTGTAAACTGCTTCACTTTCATCAAGCAGTTTGTTATATGTATGTAATCTCTGCAGATTTCTGAATGAACTGAAGTTATAATTTCCTCCATATGTCATCACAAGATTATCTGCACCATGAACTTTTATAAAGAATCGCACAACTATTAAGATAGTAAGTTTTATTGCAGTAAATTTAAGTTGTGGACATTTATACAAGCACTGATAATCTACTAATGGTACACTTTCAGATTTGTGCAGCAACTCTAACTACTGTTGATATTTTGAAGTCCACATATCCCTATACAAATGTCCACAAAAGGTAAGCTATCAGACCATGTCTATATTAGTTGTGAAATGTTTAATGTGAAGACTTCACTTATAGCACTTGTTGAATGAATGTAATATTTTCAGATTTCTGAAATTCACCAAAGTCCTAACTTCCTCCATACATCAATCACAAGATTATCTGCACCATGAACTTTTATAAAGAAGCGCACAACTGATAAAACAGTACGTTTTATTAAAGTAAATTTAAGTTGTGGACATTTATAAATGCACTGATTAATCTAATGGTACACTTTCAGGTTTGTGCAGCAACTCAATAACTACTGTTGATATTTTGAAGTCCACATATCCCTATACAAATGTCCACAAAAGGTAAGCTAACAGACCATGTCCATGTTAGTTATGAAATGTTTAATGTTAAGATTTCACTTATAGCACTTTGTTGAATGAATGTAATATTTTCAGATTTCTGAAATTCACCAAAGTCCTAACTTCCTCCATACATCCATCACAAGATTATCTGCACCATGAACTTTTATAAAGAATCACACAACTATTAAGACCGTAAGTTTTATTGAAGTAAATTAAGTTGTAGACATTTATACAAGCACTGATTAATCTACCAATGGTACACTTTCAGATTTGTGCAGCAACGCTAACTACTGTTGATATTTTGAAGTCCACATATCCCTATACAAATGTCCACAAAAGGTAAGCTAACAGACCATGTCCATGTTAGTTATGAAATGTTTAATGTTAAGATTTCACTTATAGCACTTTGTTGAATGAATGTAATATTTTCAGATTTCTGAAATTCACCGAAGTCATAATTTCCTCCATATACCCATCACAAGATTCTCTGCTCCTGAACTTTTATAAAGAAGCGCACAACTGATAAAACGGTAAGTTTTATTATTAAAGTAAATTTAAGTTGTGGACATTTATAAATGCACTGATTAATCTAATGGTACACTTTCAGGTTTGTGCAGCAACTCAATAACTACTGTTGATATTTTGAAGTCCACATATCCCTATACAAATGTCCACAAAAGGTAAGCTAACAGACCATGTCCATGTTAGTTATGACCATGTCCATGTTAGTTATGAAATGTTTAATGTTAAGATTTCACTTATAGCACTTTGTTGAATGAATGTAATATTTTCAGATTACTAAAATTCACCCAAGTCATAATTTCCTCCATATACCCATCACAAGATCCTCTGCTCCATGAACTTTTATAAAGAAGCGCACAACTGATAAAATGGTAAGTTTTATTATTAAAGTAAATTTAAGTTGTGGACATTTATACAAGCACTGATTAATCTAATGGTACACTTTCAGATTTGTGCAGAAACTCGATAACTACTATTGATATTTTGAAGTCCACATATCCCTAAACAAATGTCCACAAACAGAAAGGTAACAGACCATGGCTATGTTAGTTGTGAAATGTTTAATGTGAAGACTTTACTTATAGCACTTTGTTCAATGAATGTAATATTTTCAGATATCTGAAATGCACTGAAGTCAAAACTTCCTCACATATACCAATCAAAAGATTGTATGCGGCATTAACTTCTCTAAAGTGTACAACTGATTAAAAAAGGTAATGTATAATGCATATATTCAAACTAGTTACTGAAAACATATCATTTTTGTGATTTGGTTTATTTCTTTTCCCCTTCTAGAAATAGTGACAACAACATTCTTCTGAACTATCAATTCAAAAAATGTTCTGAAAAAACTTTAAACCTATGCAGGCAGTCAATAGTCAATTGTTATTTTACAACTGAATACATAATCTCCACAGTAACAATGTTGAATGGATGGCTTGTATTACATTTGGCCTATGTATAGTTACTTTAATATGTGCCAGCCAAAAGAGGATGGCCTGCCCCTGCTGAGTCTGGTTCCTCTCAAGGTTTCTTCCTTTGCCACTACGCTGATTATGCTCCAGCCCTTGGTCCATGATGTTCCACACTGCTATCTATGGGAGTTTTTCCTTGCCACTGTCGCCTTTTTGGCTTGCTCACTGGGGTATTAAGGCACAACATGTTAAAGTAATAAAGATTTTTTTTTAATAAAATGAGTGAAATATACTTTGTCTCTGTAGCCATATACTTCATTTTAATGTCTTTGATTTTCTACTTGTATTAAATGGATGTAGACACTATATTTAGTATATGAATTGATTCTACAAACTTGGTGTCTTTTACAAAAAGTGCATCATAAAACAGCTTAGTGGATCGAGCATTTACATAATTTTCATTTAATTTGTAGTATGTTATAATTTAACAGTTGTTTTTATTTTGAAATATTAAAATTAGTAAGTGACTGTCTTCAGGACAACAGTTAAAATGTTGTCAAACTTGAATGTTTTAACTTTAAGTATTGTCAGTGGGCAAAGTTAAACTATTATATATGCATTTGTTTGGTTTAAAGCTTTATGTAGTTAACTTGAAATTTATAAAAGCCAGCCTAATTAAAAAAAAAATAAGTTTACTTAGACCATGACAAACATCCAATCACACCCTTCTACTCTCTAGCTCACTACACACAATACACAAAAGGAAATTGACATGACCATGAACACACAAAGGCAAAAAGTATTAATATGAAGAAAACTGCTTACATTGCAAGAATAGTAGATTGTCAAGGACCGCTATAGCAATCCTTTTTTTCACAAAACTTTCTGGATACTCGAGAATGAAAGAATGAACAATGTTTCTAAAACCAAAAGAAAGATTAAAACAATGCTTACCTGGATAATAAAGGAACAATTTTATAAAGTTGGACAGGACTCTACCTCACAATCTCTGGGTGATGTGACTGTTACTCATCTAGTAGGACCATTGGGGAATTTTTTTTTTTATATATATATGTTTTTTACCAAGATGCCAAAGTTCCATTAATCAAGTCAAGCATGAATCTTTATATGAATGTGCCACATCATATTCTAATGATTACTTTTCAGAAAGACACTATGTCTGTAACACAATGGTTTTGGCTCATGGCACATGGTTAAGCTTACGCTTAAGCTGCAGAGGATATGCTTCAGTGTAAGAATGAGCACACAATAAGCACACAAAAGAATTACTTGGCATCTCAACCAGTTAAGCATGCTAAGATCTCTTAATGCTAATGTAACTTATGGTTAGCTAATGTGGAGCCAGAAGAGAAAAAAGAGCAGAAATAGAATGTACATGAAGAAGAGATAGGTTCAGAAATACTTATGGATGAAATGAAAACAAGCTGCTGCAGCGCAATAGATTAGAACAATGCAGGAATCAACACAATTTTTATACTCATCCAACACGAGGTTCGAACCCACAATCGGAACGGCTCAGGATTTGTAACACATGGTTTAGCCGATTGCACCACTCAGAGGACGTGAATTTGAATGCAGCAGAGGAGAGGGTTCAGTGTGAGAATGAGTTCACAAAAAAGTTCCATAAGCATGCTAAGCTAGCTTATTGCTAATTTAGCTTATGACGTGGTACATCCAATCCTGGCAAAATAGATATCATCGGATTCGACATGATGCAAGGAATCGATAGACACCAATTTTATGATTTTGTGACAAACTGTTCACAAGTTACAGCCTCTTAGCCAATTTTGGGTTGACCTTGTTAAATTTGTGACATCATAACTTTTTTATTACAGTATAGCAAAAAAATCGGGAACAGTACTTTTATGCGGCTCGGTCCGAAGATCATTTGAGCAAATTTTGGACAATTTTGGACAAATTTTGAAGGAGGAGTAGCGAAAAAACTGTTTTACATTCGCTCCAATATGGCGGCCAGTCACATTGTTGGAAAATGACAAATGAGATATCGTCTAAATCGGCATAAACCAAGGAACATAATGTCATAAAGAACTCAAAATTTGAACAATATTTTCAAATGTTATAAGCGTTTTTTCAAAAAACAATGATATATCTGGAACACTAGGTGGCGCTGTGATCAAACTTCTCATGTCGCTTTAGGACATGGTGTCGGTCATCCCTACCAAATTGTGTGCTGATATGTCAAATAGTTTAAAAGATATTGCAATTTATGACAAAATTCAAAATGGCGGACACGTGGTACATCCCATCATGGCAAAATCGATATCCACGGATTCGGCATGATGCAAGGAATCCATAGATACCACAATTATGATTTTCTGACAAACTGTTCAAAAGTTATTGGTCAAAATAGCAATTGTTCATATCTCATGACCCATAGGTGGCGCTATTCCCAACTTTGCATTGGAACCTCAACACATGCTTCTGATGAAGTGTACCAATTTTCGTTTTGATTGATCAAACTTTGGCCGAGATACAGCCTCTTAGCCTATTTTGGGTGGACCTCGTTAAGTTTGCGACATTATAACTTTTTTTTTCCAGTATAACAAAAAAATCGGGAACAGTACTTTTATGCGGCTCAGTCTTAAGATCATTTGAGTGCATGTTTGGAGAAAATTGGACAAAATTTGAAGGAGGAGTAGCGAAAAAACTGAATACTGTACATTTCAAAATGGCCACTACTGTAATGGGCGGGGTCTTAATGTAAGGTATTGGTTGTGATCAGCATGATGAGTGGAATCAGGTGTACTAAGTTTCATGTCTCTAGATCAAAGGGTTCAAAAGTTATAACCATTTCAATGTTGAATTTTTGAACTGGTGGTGGCGCTATAGAGTTGGTCCTAGAGGGTCAAAAATTGGTCCAATTACTATTCATTAGAATCACTACAAGTGTGCCAAATTTCATCATTTTCCTATGTACGGTTCATAGGGCTGCCATAGACTTCCATTTGCGGAAGAAGAAGAAGAATAATAATAATAATAAATATAGCTGCAAGCAGCAACACGGGGCCAAGCCCTGCAAGGCACCGCAATTAGAACAATTACAGCAAAGTTCAAAGGCTTGGCACCGCAATTAGAACAAGTACAGCAAAGTTCAAAGGCTTGGCACCGCAAGCAGAACAAGTACTGCAAACTGCAAGTACAGCAAGCTGCAAGTACAGCAAGCACAGCAAGTACAGCAAGCACAGCAAGTTCAGCAAGCACAGCAAGTACAGCAAGTACAACAAGTACAGCAAGTACAGCAAGCACAGCAAGTACAGCAAGTACTGCAAGTACAGCAGCGCATCAAGCATTTAAGCACCAATAGCAGTGCAGAGCCGCAAGAACAAAAACAGCACAAATTGAATATACATGTAAATGAAGCACAGCTAGCATTTAAGCACCAACAGCAGAGCAGAGCCGGAAGGAATTGAAATGACAACTTTATACACAATTTTAAAGTCGTCCCACATGGGACTCGAACCCACGACCAGAATGGTTCGGGATTCGAGATGCATGGTTTAGCTGATTGCGCCACTCAGAGGACGTGAATTTCAAAACAGCAGAGGAGAGGGTTCAGTGTGAGAATGAGTTCACAAAAAAGTTCCATGACATGTTAACCAGATTAGCATGCTAAGCTAGCTTAATGCTAATTTAGCTTATGACGTGGTACATCCAATCCTGGCAAAATAGATATCATCGGATTCGACATGATGCAAGGAATCGATAGACACCAATTTTATGATTTTGTGACAAACTGTTCACAAGTTACAGCCTCTGAACCAATGTTGGGTCGACCTTGTTAAATTTGCGACATCATAACTTTTTTTTTCCAGTATAGCAAAAAAATCGGGAACAGTACTTTTGTGCGGCTCGGTCCGAAGATCATTTGAGCAAATTTTGGACAATTTTGGACAAATTTTGAAGGAGGAGTAGCGAAAAAACTGTTTTACATTCGCTTCAATATGGCGGCCAGTCACATTGTTGGAAAATAGCATATGAGATATCGTTGAAATCGGCATAAGCCAAGGAATATATTGACATAAAGAAATCAAATTTCAAGCAATGATAGCAAAAGTTATAAGCGTTTTTTCAAAAAACAATGATATCTCTGGAACACTAGGTGGCGCTGTGATCAAACTTCTCATGTACCTTCGGGCCATGCTAATGATGATCCATACCAAATGTGGTGAGGAAATTTCAAATAGTTTAAAAGATATTGCAAATTATGACAAAATTCAAAATGGCGGACACGTGGTACATCCCATCATGGCAAAATCGATATCTACGGATTCGGCATGATGCAAGGAATCCATAGATACCACAATTATGATTTTCTGACAAACTGTTCAAAAGTTATTGGTCAAAATAGCAATTGTTCATATCTCATGACCCATAGGTGGCGCTATTCCCAACTTTGCATTGGAACCTCAACACATGCTTCCGATGAAGTGTACCAATTTTCGTTTCGATTGATCAAACTTTGGCCGAGATACAGCCTCTTAGCCAATTTTGGGTGGACCTTGTTAAGTTTGCGACATTATAACTTTTTTTTTCCAGTATAACAAAAAAATTGGGAACAGTACTTTTATGCGGCTCAGTCTGAAGATCATTTGAGTGCATGTTTGGAGAAAATTGGACAAAATTTGAAGGAGGAGTAGCGAAATAACTGAATACTGTACATTTCAAAATGGCCACTACTGTAATGGGCGGGGTCTTAATGTAAGGTATTGGTTGTGATCAGCATGATGAGTGGAATCAGGTGTACTAAGTTTCATGTCTCTAGATCAAAGGGTTCAAAAGTTATAACCATTTCAATGTTGAATTTTTGAACTGGTGGTGGCGCTATAGAGTTGGTTCTAGAGACTCAATATTTGGCTCAGTTACTTTTCATGACCATCACTATAAGTGTGCCAAATTTCATCATTTTCCTATGTACGGTTCATAGGGCTGCCATAGACTTCCATTTGCGGAAGAAGAAGAAAACTATTATTCTGACAATAACAATTGCTATTAAAGCTGCAAGCAGCCTTACGGGGCCAAGCCTTCAATGGTTCCATGGGTTCAAAAGGTACTTAAAAATACTTTGCTTTCAAAACTTTAAAAGAAACTTTAATAACCAAAGTGTTCTTACTCATTAACTTCTTACCTCACAAAAGAAATGAGATCATCCAGCTGCCGAGGTTCAGTAGTAAAAAAGAGAATGAACTCAAAATAAAGACTTTGCATATAAAT